TTCCTTCCTTCCTTCCTTCCTTCCTTCCTTCCTTCCTTCCTTCCTTCCTTCCTTCCTTCCTTCCTTCCTTCCTTCCTAGGCCAGGAAGGGAACAGGGGAGGGCAAGAGGTTGGCAAGACTGCTGGTGGCTATGAAGGCCCCTACGACTAAAACTGGGAGACTGCCAGGAGACGTCAGGAGGAGGCGGGAGGGGAGGGCGAGAGGGTTGCAGCAATGACAGTGGTCTTCTCTTCCACAGGGGGACAGAAGGTGGGGTGGGGGCTATCTGGGAGAAAGGGAAGCGCGGGGCCAGCAGGGAGCCAATGGAGGCACTGGTGGTGGGCATAGCTCTGCTGTTGGGGCTCTATGCACTGATTTACAACTTCATGGCAGCCAGCCAGTGCCAAAAAGCAATCAGCTGCATGCCAGCCCCCACATGCTTGCCTCCTCCTATGTGCACACCTGGGAGGAGCAACCAGCCAGGTTGGGAATGGGCTGGGACTGAGTTGATGTGGACCAGCCCCTCACTGCCTCCAGGCAGGTCTGCGGGCCAGACCTAACCCCATTGCAGGATGGATCTGGCCTGCAGGCCTCGAGTTTGACATGTCTGGTGTAACCAATTCAGGAATTTGCTACCTAGAGTTTTTACATCCTAAATTTAATCTGTATGTAATAGCTATTAAGGATGGGAATTATGGGAGGTTCCTAAGCCATTAATTCATTTGTAATAAGTAATTTGGATGTCTAAAAGTACTCAGTTAAAGAACTTTTGAGTTTGTAAAATTGTAGAATAAACTAATAAAGAAGATGTTTGTGGTGTCCAGTTTTCCTTAGAAACATGAAGAAGAGGGAAAGGTTTGCCTCAGAGAGGAAAATCAGCGGGAGCTTGGCCTATAGGTCTCCAACTAGTGGTAGGTGAGCCATCAAGCTAAACTGGTTGTGATAACATCATTGAAGCCCTTCATTCTTTGTGCACTGACATCACTTTGTGCACTGATATCATCATAAATATTAAACTGCTGCCATTGCAACCTCATGCCATACCAATAAGCCTGCCATAAACTAGAAGTTGGGTTGGGCCCAACCAGAAACATCCCAAAAACGAGTCAGCCTGGTGCAGAAGCCGATCAGAGACAGACACAAGTGATAGACTTTTCAAAAACTTTTATTTTTTTTACTTTTTTTATTTTTTAAGACAAACATATACAGACAAAAACATAAAAACATAAAACCATCTTTCAATTATATACCTACAGCGTGTCAGTTGGTTACAAATCTTTTGTGCTATTCTTTCATAGTCCTTACTCACAAGTTTAAATGTTCCCAAATTGTCAATCTAACAAATGCTTAGATATCTATCAATTATTAATCATTCATTTGACTAAACTATTATTCCATCATTTCATATGAGATATTCTAGATTTTATTATAAAGTTATATTATACATTCATCCAATGGTTATATATTTTGTATTAAATTCTATGTATATTAATCTTCTATTACAAAACTTCCTAGTCTATTTCATTACCATGTCTTTTTATCTAACCATTGATAAAAAGTCTCATATCATATAAAATTGTTTATCTTCTTGTTCTCTAATTTCAAATGTCAATTTACTCATTTCATCACAGTCCATAATTTTCTTAATAATTTCTTCCTGCATAGGTGTTTTTTCATTTTTCCAATTCTTAGCAAATACAATTCTAGCCACTGTTAAACATTTGCAATCAAATATTTCAATTCTTTATTGTATATTTCTAGTATAATTCCCAATAAAAATATTTCTGGTTTAAAGTCTATGTATTGTTTTTTCATTTTTTTCCAACCAGGTGTGGATTTTAGTCCAATATCTTTTTGTATCTGAACATGTCCACCACATATGGTAATATGAACCAGGTATCTGATGACATTTTCAAATTTATCCGATTTGCTCTTAACCATTCTCGCAATTCTCGTCGGGGGTAGATGCCACCTTAAAACATCTTATACAAATTTTCTTTATAAGTAGTTGACATTGTCATTTTATAATTTTGTGACCACAATTTTTGCCATTTCCAAAAATTTCTCCCCATCATTTCTTTAACTTGTTCTTTCTCTAATTTAAATTCTAATAAATGTCAATAGAGTTTTTAAATTACCTTTTCATCAGTACCCATCAAAATTTTATCTATATCAGTCAACTTATCATAGAAACCTTCTGTTTTAAGATCTTTATTAAATCTAGATTGTATTTGTGCATATGAAAACCAATTCATTTTTATACTTTGTTCGTCCAATGCTTGCATAGATTTAAGTTCACCCTTTTCATTCAATATCTCACCATATCTAATTGTTTGTTCCTTTTTATATGTTATTGGATAAGAAAAAACTTCAGTATTACATATCCATAATGGAATTTTTAAACAATATTGCTTTTTTAACTTTTCCCAGTTTAAAAACAATGCCTCTCGAATGTAATGTCTTCCAAAATACCCCTGCGTTTTAGTTCCCTTATACCAGAGGAAAGCATGCCATCCCAACAGCAAGTCATGTCCTTCTAAAGTCAATAATCTGCTGTTCCTTAATGTTATCCATTCTTTTACCCACATCAAGTTTGTCACCTGATAATATAATTCCCAATTGGGCAAAACGAACCCTCCTCTTATTCTTGCATCTTGTAACAGTTTAATTTCTATTCCCGCTTTCTTTTCCTGCCTATTTTGTTAAAATCTTTGAAGAACTCTTTCCTTAATCTAATTGGAATTGTCTGGAATAAATATAAAATTTTAGGCAATACGTTTATCTTAATTGTAGATATTCTCCCAATCAGTGATAATTGTAAATTTTCCCATTTTGTCAAGTCTGTCACAATCTGTTGTTTGAGTTTAAGATAGTTGTCCTCTTTCAGTATACTATATCTTGCTGTTATACATATCCCTAAATACTTAACCTTATTTGTGACCTGGATTTCCAAGACTTCCTCCAACTTTTTCTTTCGTCTTGCTAATATGTACTTTGTTAATATCTTTGTTTTATCTTTATTTATTTTCAAACCTGCTACTTTTCCATACTCTTCTATCTTTTCTATTAATTTAGGTGCTGTTTCCAGTGGATCCTCTATAATATAAATACCAGGTCATCTGCAAAAGCTTGCAATTTATACTGTTCTTTTTAAATTTTCATTCCTTTTATTTCTTTTTCTTCTCGAATGTTAACACAAATAACAGAGGTGACAATGGACAACCCTTTCTACTCTCTTTTCTTATATCTAAAGAATCTGTTAACTCTCCATTTATCATAACCTTTGCAATTTGCTTATAATATATAGTTTCTATGGCTTGAATAATTTTTTTACCAAAGCCCATTTGTTCCAGTTGCAATAACATAAATCTAAATTTTCCAACGTTTTGTTTTTTAAAAGCTTCTGTTAATTCCATCATCATTATGTTCCCTTCTAACATTGTTTCAATGTCTTTGGGTATCTGGGGTAAATTCCCTTCCTGTAAATATTGCTTAATTCTTTCTTCTTGAATATTCTCTTGATGATATAATTTTCCATAATAATTTTGTATAATTTTCTTCTTCTCTGCATTTCCATAGCAGACACATCCTTCTTCATCTGTTTAATTGACTTATCCTTCTTGATTCTCTTTCCTTTCTCAATTTATAGGCTAACCATCTGCCTGGTTTGTTTGCATCTTCAAAATAATTCTGTTTAGCATTTTTAATTTTTTGTGCTAATTTCTCTTTTTCCATTAATCCCAGTTATCCATTTTAATTTCAATGTCTTTTTTGTGGAAATTTCTGTAACTCTTTTTCCAGTCTCTGATAGTCATCTTCCAGTATTTTAAAAGTTTTTTTTTCTGTTTTATATTTCTTTTCCTTGTATATTCTATTATCAAACCTCTTGTGTAGGCCTTCATTGTGTCCCAGAGATTCTGTAAAGATGTATCCTCTTTTTTATTTTCTTTAAAAAAGAAAACCAATTCTCTCAATTTTCTGTTTAAAGTCTTTTTCCTTTAATATTGTATTATTTAAAGTCCATCTAGATCTCCTCTTTTGTCCTTTCCATATAACTGTTATTGGATTATGGTCTGCCCAAGTACTTGTTTCTATTTCAATTTCTTGTATGTTGGAAAATGATTCTGTTGACATCCATATCATATCTATTCTAGACCATGATGCATGTCTATTTGAATAAAAAGTATATTGTTTACTTTCCACATTTCTCTCTCTCCATGCATCTTTTAAGTTTATCTCTATCATTCAAAAAAGGGATTTTGGACATGTCTTTCTAATTTTCTTTGTTGTTTTCTGTGTTTTATAGTCCAATTGATCATTAATTATTCCATTAAAATGTCCCATTATACAAATATTAACTTAATCCAGTTCAATTATTTTCATATGTAATTTCCTGTAGAATTCTTCTTGGTTATCATTTGGAGCATAAATTGCTATTAAAAGTGTTTTTACATTATTGTCCATTATTTCCACCATCAAAACGTTTCCATCATCATCTGCATAAATTTGTTCCGCAGTAATTGTATCTCTGATATATAAGACCACACCTCTTTTTTTCCATTTTGTCAATGATGTGAATAATTTCCCTAATTTTTTTTCCAGTATATATTCATGTTGTTTTTAAATATATACTTCTTGTAGGCAAATTATATCAAACTTCAATTTCTCTAGTTTATGCAATACTTTTCTTCTTTTAGTAGCTAAATTAAGTCCATTTATATTCATCATAATCAATTTTCTTTCATCCATTTTAGACTTTATAAGAAGGATTTGTTGCTCTAGTAAATCTTGGTTCTCATTACTCTCTAGGTACACCATCTACTTCACCTTTTTCTTTTTCTTTTTCAATTGCTGTTATACACTCCGCTTGAAATTCAATTAATGACTCTTCTTGTATCTTCCTCCTTTCCTCTAGAACATTCTAGATAGAATAGCTCAGCTTTTTCAGCTGTGTCAATTCTGCATCTTTGTTCCTGACAGGTGAACATGAGACCTTATGGTATCAACCATCTGTAATTTACTCCTCTTTTGAGCAGCTCTTTAGTCAGAAATAAATGGCTGCTTCATATATTGTATGGAAGTGATATGTATAAGGAATGACCTTAAGACTGTAGTAATAAAAAAGAGAATATCCCAACCTAGAACAGTTTAACAAAATGGACACTTTCTATTGCAAGCGTTTTTTAAAACAAAGAATGGGTATGGTGATGACATTTGGGGGGAAAATGAGTAAGAATCAGTTGTTGGTCTATGTTTTAACAATTAGCTGTGCTTTTGTATTCATATCTGATCTTAATAAGATAATATAGCATTTGGGGATGAAGATGCAGCCCAGCAGGCCAGCACTGGAAGCCAAGATGGAGAAGATTTGCACAGCCACCATGTACTTTCCTTTGGTGCTCAGGTAGGTGGGAACAAAGGATACCCAGACGCTGCAGAAGACCAGCATGCTGAAGGTGATCATCTTGGCTTCATTGAAGGCCCCAGGCAGATTCCGGGCCAGAAATGCTACTGTGAAGCAGATGGCAGCCAGGAAGCCCATGTAGCCAAGAGCAACATAAAACATGGCAAGGATTCCTTCATTGCATTGAAGTACAATCTCTCCTGGTTGGGAGTGCATGTCAGAATCAGAAAATGGAGGGGAGACCACCAACCAGATGCTGCAGATGACCACTTGGACTGTGGAAGAGCAAAGAATGATGTAGTTGGCTAACTGCTTCCCCAGCCATCTCCTCACTCTGTTTCCTGGCTTTGTGGCCAGGAAGGCTAACACAACTGTGATAGTTTTGGCCAAGACAGAAGATATAGCAACTGAGAAGATGATACTAAAGGCTGTTTGTCGGAGAAGGCAGGTAGCTCTCCTTGGCTGGCCAATGAAGAGGAAGGAAGTTAAATAGGAAAGCAGAAGGGAGAACAAGATGATGTAGGAAAGGTCCCGGTTGTTGGCTTTGACAATGGCTGTTTCTCTGTATTTAACAAAGATTGCTAAAACAAGAAGGGTAGTTAAGGTCAAAAAGAGTGCAAGAGAAGCCAAGATGGCCCCCAGATTATCATTATAAGCCAGGTAGGTTTTTCTTTTCGGGAGACATACATCTCGCTCTTTATTTGGATATTGATCTTCTGGGCATTTGGTGCAATAATCTGCATCTGCAGAGACAAAAAATAGCATTATCAGCAGCCACAACTGTTTTATTTTTGATGGCAATAGTTAAGATACTTTCTGGATATCTGTGACTGTGAAGGGGCATCTTTCTGCCTTAAAACAGCAGTGGGTGACTGAAATTAGAACTTATTATTTTGCTAGTTGACTTCCGGTTTGCAGGGCTTCGGCGGCAGGCAGAAATCCGCGATCATGCGTGGTTTCTGGGCTCGCTGCTGGAGCACCCCGAGCTGACTGGCTTTGGGGCTAAGCCACCCATAGAGGTGTCGAAGAGGGGGGAGATCACCAGCAGGGTCGAGGAGAGCTGCATGTTTTATTTTAGATGTATGATTTATTTCAGAAACAGACTAAAAAACTATTAGTCTTTTGGGTGACAGTTCGCTTTGCTCTGTACTCACACACCTTCCTGAGAGGAGAAAGATCCTTCTGCACAGGGAACACAATCATAGCAGCAAACAGGCTTCCCTTCCTGGCCCACTTTGAAAAATCCAGGCACACAACTTTCCACACATCTGGAGGGAGGCAAACTCTATGCAGAAAAATGGGGAACATAAAGGACTGTTTCATCATCATCACCATCATTTTAACCTTTGTCTATTCACTGTAGGATGAAGGCCACTGCAGGATGAAAGGACTATATATTTGGGTTGATATTAAAAGAAAGGAATTGTAAGGCAGAGTTGGCAAGAGTTCTTAACAAGAAGTTTAGATCCTGGCCAAACATTCTTTAATTTAACCCAGGTCATTTAATGGAAGGAGATGAATATCTTGAGAATATGCTTTTGGTGAGATCAAAGAGATGGAGTCTAGGAAATTTTAGAAAAGAATAGACTAGAATAACAGAGTTGAAAGGGACTCTGAAGGTCTTCTAATCCAACCCCCTGCCTAGGCAGGAAACCTGGAGGTTCCACTGATTAATTGTTCTAATTTTCTTCTTTTTCACTTGTCGATTTTTTACTTGTCTCTGTTGACCTTTGAGAGAAATGATAAGATGGAGCTTTTCCTGGCAACCTTCTGAATGAGTAGCATAACATTTCAGGAATTGGTTATTGTCTTATGGGTGCTTTATTTTTTTTATTTTTTTGAAAAGCACAGGATATGTGATTATGGTGGTCCAAAATCAAATACACAAACAGTGCAACAACAACAACAACATTAAACAATCCATGTCTCCCTGTGAATCTTCTACCTCAATTTTTGCTATTTTTTTTTCTATTGCTCATTATTATTTTGCAGGAATTATGACTGGTGGCTTCCCTGTCGATTTCTGTAAAATATGACAATGAAAAATATTATACAAATAAAAAGAAAGGGCATTGTTTGAACAGGAAATCCAAACCAGAGCCCCTGAATCAATTGAAGAATGGGAAAATCAAGGTTTCAGTTTATAAGATGTTCCCTATGACTACTGTTGGGATTTCAGCAGTTGCTGAATTAAATCATGAGCCTCTAGCCAAGATTCAAAAGAATCCAGAAGATTTATTAGGAACAACATGACCAGCCGGTATGAAGCCAACTCTGGCATTTGTAATTTACAGTCACCTGTGACCCTGTTTCCCCCCAGGGTGTATCATAAATCAGATGCATGAATGATGTCAAATTGACCATGCCCACCCAGTCCCATGACCAAGCCACGAGCACCCAGTCACATGGCCACCAAGCCATGCTCACCAAATAAGCCACGCCCACAGAACTAGTAGTAAAAAAATTTGAATCCCACCACTGCCCTGGGTGTATCATAAATCAGATGCTCCAATGAAGCACATTCATTCATCAATCACATTCTCCAATTAAGAGATTTTGCAGGAAGAAGATCCGGCAGCCTGGTTACAATCTTTCTAAGATAATGATAGAATGTACTTCTGGTTTTAAACTGCCACCCCGGTCCTTCAGATTACCTCCCTCCCTTGTTTATGGCAACTCTGAAACAGGCATAGAAATGCTTTATGAGTTGACATCTACTATGAATCCTTACAGAGCTTCATAAACTTTGAAGAAGTTGACTGGGCATGTGTTAAAGTATGATGATATTGAAGGGGAGAAACAGGACTACAGTTAATGATTACCCTTACATTCTTAAACCATTGAGACCTTATAATCATATCCTGGTCAATGAGGAAGTTGGCATCCTGGGATTTGTATCTTGCAAAGCTCCCAAATTTCATTCTGACCACAGACTTATTGGAGAACCGAAACCACTTCACAATATCAAAGTCAGCCGCCAGCTCTCTGTTTTTGCCCAGATACACCCCATGCATGGAATGGTTGTAGAACTGGGGATCTTGTAGGAAAGGATGAAACTGGAATGATAAGAACATCCATATGAACAAAGAAATTCTACAGCCTTTGAAAAGCATAATATGTCAAGCTCTGACTATTGAACTCAAGCAAATCAAAACTCCTAGACTTGGCTCCTTTTCAAAGATCTTCTTCAATTAGTACATCATATATAAAAACAAATCTAAATCTTTCCTGCCGTTTTAGTATAATTAAACTAGGAAATAACCCTATCCCTTAATGTCACATATCATGTTGGCCAATTGAGTTAGTTGGCAGCCTCTTCAGACACTCTTTTCTCAACCTTATCTATTGCCAGTGGAGATGACCTCGGTTCTCATGAGAAAGCTCTTTGTTATTTCTTGGAATGCATTCCAACCGCCTTCCCCCCTGTGTGGCAAATGAGGAACAGAGACATGGCTGTGGCCAGGTTCAGTTCAAAGTTGACACAACATTTTAATTCATTGCTGCCACAGAGTTGAAGAATGTGGGAAGGGGTGATGTAATTGAATAATTCTTAGAGGAAAAAGAGTTAGTTTGAAAGTTCAAGGTTACTGAGTGTGTTGCAGCAAGTAATTGCAGCCGCAGAGTAATTGGTTCATGTGATTAATGAGGTGTAGAAAAGTGGGTGGGTGTAGGTTGAATTTTGTGAATGATTTCAGTTCTGAAATTTCACAGATGTTGCCAGTTCCTGTTTTTAATAAAGCACTTTTAGATTATGTCTGTCTCAGAATTACTGATTACATTCTGGAACCCTGATAGCATTTCAGAACTCCCTCTTTACTAATGGGGCTGCTGATAACCCCAGAGACTTTTTTCCAGTGATGGAGAAAGCTCAAGAATCAGCCAATACTGAAGGTGAGCAAGACGGGGCTTGGGGACATGAGCTGAATCTTTCAGCCCCTCTTTGGAGGAGATGATGGATGCCTTTAGAATTGCAGAAGAGAGAGAGGATTTGGGAGCCAGGCCAAGACGTTCCAACTCATGGGGGAGTTGCAAAACGACTTTAAACAGACAGCATGAGGAAAAATCTTTCCCCAGCCCTCTGTATACAACAAAGGAGGCAGACTGGAGGGAGAAGGCCCAAATTGAGTCGGAACTCTCTCAAGACGATAATCCCAAGATTTATTCTGGGAGCCCATCAATGGCAGAATTACCACAACAGTTCCAGCAATTAAAAGTGGGAAGTTTGGTCTCAAAGCCACAACCTGTCTGGCCAAGTTGGAGCCTGACACAACCCATCTTCTCTTATTCAAGTATCGTTAACGGACAAGGAAATTACACAGATGCCAGTTAGAGAGGCCCAGCATGAAAGCCCACAGCGACAAGAGGTGCTGACTACCAGAGGTATGTTGAAACCCCCAAGTCCTGCTCCCCACTTTCCAGAAAGAAGGTTACCCTCTGCAGAAAATATCCCTCCAGGTTTGGGATTTTATCTAGGCCAGGAGTGGATTCAGTGCCAATGGATGCCAGCACCAACAAAGCCCTGTGTCAGCCTCAAGATCTCTTCGGGTACCCCAACTACTATCCTTTATTTCTCCCTTAGTATCTCTACTGCTAGGCTTACTTCTTTCGGCTGTCATTAGCAACGGGGGGAGGGGTAATTGTGGGGGGGAAGAGAGCTGGAGGTGTTTTGCATTCTTTTACTGTGGGCAGAAGAAGGGGGGGGATTTCTTCTTTCCAACTTTCCATTTCCTTGCTAGCCTCTATCCTTTTTGCGCAGCTGCGAAGTCTTATCAAAATATGTCAAGGTCAACGGACAGAGGCCTCATCACCACCTGAAGATGCTCACATGATCATATTCAGAACTTTTAATTGGCAGAGACTTCTGGACTTTGGGGGGTGGGAACAATTCCATTTCTTTGTATGTGTGATCTGCGCGCCAAATTCTCACTTTTGGACTTCCATTTGTAGCTTCCTTTTCATCTTCCAGTAAAAGAAGAACTTTGCTCTGAACCATGGAGTCTGAGTATTTCTTTCTTGGATTTTGAAAGGAGCACACATTGACACCCTGGGTTGAAGGAGAACTGCCCAGACCGCAAGCACTCCCCCTCCAACCAGGCAGAGAATCAGGCAACACCCACCTTCCTCATGGCAACCACAAATGCAAACCCCAATTGGAGCAACCCTGCAGGGACCCCTCTCCCAGAGAGGCACAACCCAGCCAGGCTTCAGGGGCCCTGCCCAGTCTAGATACGCAGCCTATCAGGCTCCTTTCATTCCAGTTTAACCTGCAGGTGCCAGGCCCATACCACCTCCCCAACCATGACCTAGACTGGACCAAATACAGTTCAAAGCCATTATCGATGGGCTCCATGAGTATTTTAATTACTTCCTCACTTGAATCCGGTCCCACATAGATCAATTTGGAGATCAATACATGAAAGAGCGCGACTTGGTTATTGCCATAACAGATGGGATGAATGAAGGGGATGCATCTGACTGGGTGGCCCAACTACACAACTGCCCCAGAATTACAAGATGTCAATGGATTTATTTGATTATTGCGACTCAGATTTGAAAATCCAGACAGGGTGGCAGAAAATGAAGAGAAGTTAATGGAAATGAAACAAGGCAAGCGATCCTTATCAGACTTTATTTGGGACTTTAGAAGGGTCACGAGCCATCTCATGGATTAGCCTAAAAGGATGACTTTAAACTACTTTAAGAATGCCATTGAGCCAGAAGTAAAGAAGGCCTGTAACACTGAGGAATACCAGTGACTCTTCAAGCATGGTATGCCACTGCCCTCAGATTAGACCACAACATCAACCCACACAGAAAACCCCTTCCTGAAGGCCTGCCTAAGAGAACTGTGGCTAGGCAACTGCTGACCAAACCCACTGAAGCTACTCATATCTGAACCAACAGGATGATAAAATGTTACCGCTGTGGCCAGGATGGCCACAGAGCAGCTGACTGTATGGCTCCCACACCTGTACCATGAGCACCATAATCAAAGTCTAGTACATCTATTAGAGGTCGGAAAAGTCAAGGAAGACCTCCAGCCAGAGGCTGGTTCACCAAACACAGCTGGGAAAGCCCCATACCTTTTACTGTCAAAGTCAAGTTAGTGGTACCTAACACAGGGGAGGCCAGGGAGTTAGAAGCTGTCATTGATACTTGGTGTTCTAGATGCTTTATCGGGCTTCCTATTGTTGAACAATTGGGCATAAAGACTAACCCACTAAGACACCCAATCCAATTTGAGCAAGTGGATGGGACATTAATTGGGGGGACCCCAGCTACCCAAATGACAAAGTTGATCAAGATGGAAATGGGCCCTCATTGTGAACTCATACTTATAGTGACCCCCAGAATGTCAGAATCAATCATATTGGGACTTGCTTGGCTAGACAAATGGGCCCCTACCATCAAATGGGAGGATGGATTCAGGAAAATCATCATTGGGGTGGGCCCATTGCCCCCCTTCCTCCCACTAAGAAACCATCAGCTGACTTGAACCCAAAACCTGAACCAGCAGCCCCAGCATCTGACCTTCTCCCAAATACCCCCCAAATACCCAACCAATACAAAGATTTGGCTGAAGCATTCAGTGAAGAGGAGTGTAATGTTTTACCTTCATATCAAGCCACTGATTGCACCATGGAATTAGAATCCGAGGCAAAACTACCAAAACCAAAGATGGATTCCATGACACCTTCTGAAATGACTGAATTAAGAAATACATTGACAACAGTTTGGACTGAGTTTTTACTGAACCTGCCAAATCGAGGTTAGCTGCCCCGTGCTGTTCAAAGAGAAGAAAGATGGTGGGTTGAGATTATGTATGGACTCAAAAACATGTACCCTCTCTCCTTCATGAAGGACTTATTAAACCACCTGTCAAAAGGCAAGGTATTCACCAAGCTAGTTCTGAGAGAAGCTTACTATTGGGTCTGCATCAAAGAGGGAGACGAGTGGAAAACAGTAAAAAGTTGCTCAATTTGTGCCACAATGAAACACAGAACTGGAAAAACCTCTGGCCTCCTCCAACAAGTCATTGAACGAACATAGCCGTGGGAAGAAATCGCAATGGACTTTATTGTAGAATTATCTGAAAGTGGAGGGAATACAATCATTTGGACTGTCATTGACTTATTCTCTAAGCAGGCCCACTTTACAGCCTGTAAAAGACTTCCATCTGCAAAAAAGCTTGCAAAACTGTTCACGAAGCATCTCTATAGATTACATGGAATACCTCGTAGAATAATATCAGACAGAGGGGTACAATTTACTGCTAAGTTCTGGAGGGAATTTTTGAAGTCTATTGGGTCCTTCCAAGGGTTATCCTCCACATTTCATCTGGCCTGCAACAGAGCAGCAGAATGGACAAATGCCATGGTTGAACAATATATTAGATGTTATGTAAATTATCAATAGGAAAACTGGGCGGAATTATTACCATTTGCAGAGGTTGCTTATAATAATGCAGTACATAGCAGCATGGGCTGACTCCATTCCAAATCAACAGTGGGATGGACTTTGTGGGAGGCCAGAATTACCTAAAGAACCTCCCACATCCATGTCTCTAACAGAATGGATGAACTCATTAAAAAAGGTTGGAAAGATAAAAGAAAAAGCTTTGACTGAAGCTGCAAAAGATTACAAAAAGCAAGTGGACAAACAGATCCCTTCAACCACCATTTAAAGTGGGAAACAGTATATTTGTCAACCAAGCATCTTAGATTGAAACTTCCTAGTAAGAAGTTGGGACCAAAATTCTTGGGTCCATTAAAACCAGTTGCTACATCAATGATAAGACCAATACCAATCGCTCCCCTTGAACCGCTAACTGTACAGGGTGAGACACATTATGAAATTAAGAAAATCCTTGATTCTAGATTACATTGAGGACGATTGCAATATTTGGTCTTATGAAAGGATTACCCTCTATCAGATGCTAGTTGGGTAAAAAGTTGGGATGTACATGCTGACAAACCAAAGGGTCCTCATGGAGGGGGGAGAGGGGGTTAAGGAC